AGCACGTTTGACGTCATGCGAGATAGCAACGATATTAGCTCCTACTCATGTTACGAGGACCTCTGCATCAGTACCGCTGTCCTCGGCCGACAAGATGATAGCAGTGTTGGCGGTCCGCTGACGTCGACACCCACCTTTGTCTGTGGTATGATCGGTGGCAAAAATCACACTGTCGTGGGTGATACGGCATTAATTTTGCTTGACAAACGGTATGGTGCGTCGATTAAAAAACATGTTAGAAGGTTAAATTCACACAGGAATATGTAAGTTTTGCCTGTCTTTTTAGTACTATCGTATGAAGCTGGGCACAGCATGGAATGGTTGATGGAACAAACACATTTAAACTCCTTCCCATGTATAAGGACGGTTGTATGCAAATTGTAGCTGGAAATGCCGAATGCGATTACTCATTGCACTATCTCCGAACATCATCTTTTCTAATGTTACCATCATCGGCTGGACTACGCATTCGTAAAAAGGCTTTCGTAGTTCAATTTTAGTTTCGTAATATGGCGTCCGAACTCTAAAGGTGGTGTCCGCATGTGGTGCTGGACTCCGACGCGATGCCCTGGAGTGTGACGTCATCCGCGTCCATACCCACTCCACACGCGTCACCTCACTAATGCGTTTTCCGGAGGCGATGTCTGCAGGCGGCACCTCTCCAAGTGTCGCGCGCTCTTGGCTCGCCGCGCGTTACAGCACCGCGGGGAGCCGTTACTGGAGCCAGCCTTGGACGGAGTGCGTATCGCGTCCGCTTAACTCACCCCGAGAGCCTGCCCCCCCCCCCGAATTAGCGGTCTCCCGAATTAGCAGCGTAACCAGGCCAGCAGCGCGCCGCCGCCCGCCATTCCGGCGTGCCTGAGGCCTTGGCGGCGCACCGTCAGCTGTCTGCGCCGCGTGCGCCGCCGGCCGGAGTTGCGCCGTCACCCGGCACCGTGGCTATGGGGCCGACACGGCGCCGCCGGCCGCACGGAAAGCGTGTCTGATTCGCACCGCCGCCCGCGGCCACGCGAGCGGGCTGGATCATGCTGACGCGGCTGCCTGCCGCCCCTTCCAGAGGCGCTGGAGCTGGTCACGCACGCGGCCACGCACAGCAACGACACGATGAAGCGGGTGGACAAGTTCAAGCAGCTGCTGGAGATCCAGGAGAACATCAGCGGCGGTCCGGACCTGGTGTCGCCCACCCGCCAGCTGGTGAAGCAGGGCAAGATCTGCAAGATATCGGCTCGCAGCGGCGACCACCAGGAGCGCTATCTGTTCCTGGTGAGCACCGCAGACCGCGGGTATCGACATGACCCCCCTCTCAACTGGGTCTTGGCCTCACCTCTGTGCTATTGGCATTGTTTGTGGTCAAAACACGAAAACAGGTTGCCAGGACCCGAATCACACCGGCGCCTTTGGTAGTGAGCCCACGGCAATACTCCTCCCCTCGAGACGGAGCGACCTGGCATTTAAGACATCAGCGGGCCTGTTTATCGACATGCAAACGTGTGATCTAGTAGCCTTGCTTTCCAGTCGTTTTAGTTTTAGATACCGAACTATGAATATCCTTTTTGGTGACCGTCTTACATCATGGCTGTGCCATTTATATTCATCAGTTGCCGCCATTCATGCTATCTTCAAAATTTGACAGTTGATCCGCTGCATGCTAATTGCAATGACAAATTATCAAGGATGTTATTTGTGGATAATGGGAGACTGACGCACGTAGTTTTTTAATAGACTCCTGACTAACATGGGACCGGGGCTGTGTGCTATATGCGAGCCAAGTCCTAATAAGAGCCGCCCAACATTTACTCCCGGCAAACAGCTAACCACAAAAAGCGGGTGGGGCGAGGTCGTCCCCGCGGCCCAGCCTGATGAATGAGACGGGCCTCTGTCGCGTTATCGGTCGTGCATCGCGTTTTTTACCCCGATTATCAGGACAAGCTTGGACCCGGGATTCAGCACAAAGCTCTCTTATTGTTGGCGGTGATGGAGCGTGGCCGACCTAGCAACGACAGTCACTGTCTGACGGCTTGTCGGCTGTCGGTCAGAGACGATAGCGTGACGGCGACGGCTCGCCATCGGCCGCCGGGTACGGTAGCACTCGGTCAGCCGCGGGCGGCAAGGACCACTGGTGGACGGCCGGGCCGACCGGCGGAAGGTCAGGCCCAGGCCGACCGGCGGCCAGTCAGGCCGACCCGCGGACGGTCAGGCTGACCAGCGGACGGCCGGGCCGACCGGCGGACAGTCAGGCCCAGGCCGACCGGCGGCCAGTCAGGCCGACCCGCGGACGGTCAGGCCGACCGGCGGCCAGTCAGGCCGACCCGCGGACGGTCAGGCTGACCGGCGGACGGCCGGGCCGACCGGCGGACAGTCAGGCCGACCGGCGAGCGGCCTGGCCGACCGGCGGCCAGTCAGGCCGGCCGGCGGACGGTCAGGCTGACCGGCGGAAGGTCAGGCCCAGGCCGACCGGCGGAAGATCAGGCCCGGGCCGACCGGCGACCAGTCAGGCCGACTCGCGGACAGTCAGGCCGACCGGCGACCAGTCAGGCCGACCGGCGACCAGTCAGGCCGACTCGCGGCCAGTCAGGCCGACCCGCGGACAGTCAGGCCGACTCGCGGACAGTCAGGCCGACTCGCGGACAGTCAGGCCGACTCGCGGACAGTCAGGCCGACTCGCGGACAGTCAGGCCGACTCGCGGACAGTCAGGCCGACTCGCGGACAGTCAGGCCGACCGGCGACCAGTCAGGCCGACCGGCGGCCAGTCAGGCCGACGGCGGCCAGTCAGGCCGACCGGCGACCAGTCAGGCCGACCGGCGGCCAGTCAGGCCGACCGGCGGCCAGTCAGGCCGACCGGCGGCCAGTCAGGCCGACTCGCGGGCCAGTCAGGCCGACCGGCGGCCAGTCAGGCCGACCGGCGGCCAGTCAGGCCGACTCGCGGCCAGTCAGGCGACCGGCGGCCAGTCAGGCCGACCGGCGGCCAGTCAGGCCGACCGGCGGCCAGTCAGGCCGACTCGCGGCCAGTCAGGCCGACTCGCGGCCAGTCAGGCCGACCGGCGGCCAGTCAGGCCGACCGGCGGCCAGTCAGGCCGACTCGCGGCCAGTCAGGCCGACCGGCGGCCAGTCAGGCCGACCGGCGGCCAGTCAGGCCGACCGGCGGCCAGTCAGGCCGACTCGCGGCCAGTCAGGCCGACTCGCGGCCAGTCAGGCCGACCGGCGGCCAGTCAGGCCGACCGGCGGCCAGTCAGGCCGACCGGCGGCCAGTCAGGCCGACTCGCGGCCAGTCAGGCCGGCCGGCGGACGGTCAGGCCGACCGGCGGCCAGTCAGGCCGACCGGCGAGCGGCCTGACCGACCGGCGGCCAGTCAGGCCGGCCGGCGGACGGTCAGGCTGACCGGCGGAAGGTCAGGCCCAGGCCGACCGGCGGAAGATCAGGCCCGGGCCGACCGGCGACCAGTCAGGCCGACCGGCGACCAGTCAGGCCGACCGGCGACCAGTCAGGCCGACTCGCGGCCAGTCAGGCCGACCGGCGGCCAGTCAGGCCGACCGGCGGCCAGTCAGGCCGACCGGCGGCCAGTCAGGCCGACTCGCGGCCAGTCAGGCCGACTCGCGGCCAGTCAGGCCGACCGGCGGCCAGTCAGGCCGACCGGCGGCCAGTCAGGCCGACTCGCGGCCAGTCAGGCCGACCGGCGGCCAGTCAGGCCGACCGGCGGCCAGTCAGGCCGACCGGCGGCCAGTCAGGCCGACTCGCGGCCAGTCAGGCCGACTCGCGGCCAGTCAGGCCGACCGGCGGCCAGTCAGGCCGACCGGCGGCCAGTCAGGCCGACCGGCGGCCAGTCAGGCCGACTCGCGGCCGTCAGTGCCGGCCGGCGGACGGTCAGGCCGACCGGCGGCCAGTCAGGCCGACCGGCGAGCGGCCTGACCGACCGGCGGCCAGTCAGGCCGGCCGGCGGACGGTCAGGCTGACCGGCGGAAGGTCAGGCCCAGGCCGACCGGCGGAAGATCAGGCCCGGGCCGACCGGCGACCAGTCAGGCCGACCGGCGACCAGTCAGGCCGACCGGCGACCAGTCAGGCCGACCGGCGACCAGTCAGGCCGACTCGCGGCCAGTCAGGCCGACCCGCGGACAGTCAGGCCGACTCGCGGACAGTCAGGCCGACTCGCGGACAGTCAGGCCGACTCGCGGACAGTCAGGCCGACTCGCGGACAGTCAGGCCGACTCGCGGACAGTCAGGCCGACTCGCGGACAGTCAGGCCGACCGGCGACCAGTCAGGCCGACCGGCGGCCAGTCAGGCCGACCGGCGGCCAGTCAGGCCGACCGGCGACCAGTCAGGCCGACTCGCGGCCAGTCAGGCCGACTCGCGGCCAGTCAGGCCGACCGGCGGCCAGTCAGGCCGACCGGCGGCCAGTCAGGCCGGCCGGCGGACGGTCAGGCCGACCGGCGGACAGTCAGGCCGACCGGCGGACAGTCAGGCCGGCCGGCGGACAGTCAGGCCGACCGGCGGCCAGTCAGGCCGGCCGGCGGACGGTCAGGCTGACCGGCGGAAGGTCAGGCCCAGGCCGACCGGCGGAAGATCAGGCCCGGGCCGACCGGCGACCAGTCAGGCCGACTCGCGGACAGTCAGGCCGACCGGCGACCAGTCAGGCCGACCGGCGACCAGTCAGGCCGACTCGCGGCCAGTCAGGCCGACCCGCGGACAGTCAGGCCGACTCGCGGACAGTCAGGCCGACTCGCGGACAGTCAGGCCGACTCGCGGACAGTCAGGCCGACTCGCGGACAGTCAGGCCGACTCGCGGACAGTCAGGCCGACTCGCGGACAGTCAGGCCGACCGGCGACCAGTCAGGCCGACCGGCGGCCAGTCAGGCCGACCGGCGGCCAGTCAGGCCGACCGGCGACCAGTCAGGGCCGACCGGCGGCCAGTCAGGCCGACCGGCGGCCAGTCAGGCCGACCGGCGGCCAGTCAGGCCGACCGGCGGCCAGTCAGGCCGACTCGCGGCCAGTCAGGCCGACCGGCGGCCAGTCAGGCCGACCGGCGGCCAGTCAGGCCGACCGGCGGCCAGTCAGGCCGACTCGCGGCCAGTCAGGCCGACCGGCGGCCAGTCAGGCCGACCGGCGGCCAGTCAGGCCGACCGGCGGCCAGTCAGGCCGACTCGCGGCCAGTCAGGCCGACTCGCGGCCAGTCAGGCCGACCGGCGGCCAGTCAGGCCGACCGGCGGCCAGTCAGGCCGACCGGCGGCCAGTCAGGCCGACTCGCGGCCAGTCAGGCCGGCCGGCGGACGGTCAGGCCGACCGGCGGCCAGTCAGGCCGACCGGCGAGCGGCCTGGCCGACCGGCGGCCAGTCAGGCCGGCCGGCGGACGGTCAGGCTGACCGGCGGAAGGTCAGGCCCAGGCCGACCGGCGGAAGATCAGGCCCGGGCCGACCGGCGACCAGTCAGGCCGACTCGCGGACAGTCAGGCCGACCGGCGACCAGTCAGGCCGACCGGCGACCAGTCAGGCCGACTCGCGGCCAGTCAGGCCGACCCGCGGACAGTCAGGCCGACTCGCGGACAGTCAGGCCGACTCGCGGACAGTCAGGCCGACTCGCGGACAGTCAGGCCGACTCGCGGACAGTCAGGCCGACTCGCGGGCAGTCAGGCCGACTCGCGGACAGTCAGGCCGACTCGCGGACAGTCAGGCCGACCGGCGACCAGTCAGGCCGACCGGCGGCCAGTCAGGCCGACCGGCGGCCAGTCAGGCCGACCGGCGACCAGTCAGGCCGACCGGCGGCCAGTCAGGCCGACCGGCGGCCAGTCAGGCCGACCGGCGGCCAGTCAGGCCGGCCGGCGGACGGTCAGGCCGACCGGCGGACAGTCAGGCCGCCCGGCGGACAGTCAGGCCGACCGGCGGACAGTCAGGCCGGCCGGCGGACAGTCAGGCCCAGGCCGACCGGCGGACGGTCAGGCCGACCGGCGGCCAGTCAGGCCGACCGGCGGCCAGTCAGGCCGACCGGCGGACAGTCAGGCCGGCCGGCGGACAGTCAGGCCGACCGGCGGACAGTCAGGCCGGCCGGCGGACAGTCAGGCCGACCGGCGGACAGTCAGGCCGGCCGGCGGACAGTCAGGCCCAGGCCGACCGGCGAGCGGCCGTCACCAGACTACCAGATTAGCCGGAAATTGTGGAGCAGTCGGGCGAGGGAGTGATTCGCATCTGGCCGTGTCAAGACCTGGCGGCGGTGTCCGCGTTTGGCGATTCCGATTGGATCTGGCGATGGGTCAGCCGTCCGATGACACATTTCAGATGTGTTGATGCGTTCTGTATATGAAAATGCCGACCAGCTCTATTGTTACTTGACCTTTCTGATCGTACCGTCTGTGTCTGGCGCTACCATTCACAACTTCGCATTCAAGTCAAATGAAGCGGCTCCACCTTCATCTGAAATCCACCCGGATCTGGAGAGGTGATCTGAAGTCGTCCGATCCTCCTCTCACGGAGCAGACGGTCAACTCACCAGCCGCGCCCACCTGCCCGCTTCCCGCGTGTGAACTGCTTCCCTGTGGTGGCCGCTTTCCCCTGAGCGCGTGCTAGACCGGACTGCGAGCGGGTACGTGCGCCGTTTGTCAGACCGGCGGCCGGATGGAAGGCGGTTTTTGCTCCGGCCTTGCTGGGGCTGGGGCGATCGGCGCAGATAATTAGGACAGACGCGTGCGGTCGGCTTCGGGCCGGCAAAAAGTGCGGCGTGATTCAGGATACCGGCGGCGACGCTGTGACGGCCCGGGTAAAAACAGACCCGGGCAGCCGGCGCGAGGTCAGGTCGGGTCAGCGAGAACCCGTCCGACCAGACGCCGCGTGACAAACCCGCGCCCGCATGGAGCGCGTTCTCCAGGTTGTAGTGGGTAACAGGAGCTGATGAGTCAAAGCCAATTCCAGAGGAGTTTACTGGGCTCATAGTCCGGAGGTGTCAGCCCTATTCGATAGCGAGACGTGCATTATGACGTTTTAATGTCACAGTATGCTACTGGCCAGGTGCGTGCCCAAAGCAGCTATGCTCCTGAGCAACATGGGATATTAGAAGCGGATTTGACACTTTACCGCCAGCTGCGAGCTGCCTTTCTTCCGTCACTCAAACTACGACAGCGTGGTTGGTTCTGTAAGCGTGGTTTCAGTGTGTAGTTGTGGCATCTCAGGGGTTGCATGAGCTTAGCACCGGATCATGAGCATGAGCACCGGATCATACATTCATATCTTTTTCACAGCTCAAAGACCATTTAGGCGGCGCTCTTTTGAATGGGTGATGTTTGCGTCGGGCCCACTGGAGGGCGAGACTATCTGGTAGCGCGCGGACGTAACACGCCCATCACGGCGCCGCCAATAAGATCGTGCCCTTTGCGTGGCGGCGCGAGCCGAGATACGAACCGCAGCAAGCTGTCGGCATCAAAGCGGATCGATCGCGCCGACAAACGCGGCAAACTTCAAATAAGTAGTTCGGGTTAGGTCATCGCTCGTTACGTTGGCGGGGCGGGATGCGATCTGAATCATATGTGGTCAGTGCGTCAGCCAAGAATGTTTTTGATAACGCTCAAACTCTGAAGATGCGAGAAAGATGCGCCATTTGCCAAGTTCTGCGGTTTCCGACGCCCTTGACCTGCCCATGTAATTTGGTCAGAATTCCGTTCAGTTGTACTCGAGCGGCCTGTTTGTTTTGGGCGAGCAGACGCACGCTCGCAATCCCATACATTTTTGTAGCCTCTTCTTGACTCAGCTTCACGAGCTGAAAGCCGACCTGAAACCATGTTCATTTTACCGATCTGTCAAATAGCCCCCGTATCCCGGATGTGGCCGTGTTTATGGACGACCGATACCGTATGTTTACGTCAGCGCTGGTCAAGCACGCGTCCAGTGCAGTGCCCTGCCAGCAGGGGATGACCTAACCGTCCCCTCCCTCCTCGGCTTCCGGTAGTTCTCCGACCTGCTTCTTCTTTGCTCGCCGCGCCTCATCAACAACCGCATCATCTCGGGTCCGGCGTACAGGCTGCGCGCCAAGTTTAGCATCGAGGGTCTGCAGGTGATGGAGGGAGACAACCTGGAGACGGTCAACACATTCTACATCACCGGCAACCAGAAGAACGTCGAGCTGTACACGCAGTGAGTGGTGTCACGGCAGGCATGCGGTCGCCTGACATGTGCCTTGTGCTCGTCAAGAGCGAGGTGTTGACGACCTCCAGGCGCGCATCATTAGAGTCAAGGGAACCTAGGAATTACTTGTGTGAGTGTGACGAGCAAAACATTGTTTTGCCGGAAGAGGAGTCCAGTATTTATTTGTTGGTTTGGATAGCTTGATAGGTTGATAACTTGATGGCTTGCCTGATAGCCGGGTAGCTTCGATCTGTTATACCGACCCGTAGCAGACTTGTTCGGAGGATAAGCGTGCTGAAAATACGAGACTATTTTTGAAGATTACGGTCACGAAAACAGTCAACGATCTGCCTCGAAAAGTGTAAATTTAAAATGCATCGGTCCTTTAGTCTCCGTGCAGAGAAGGTCCCGACGAAACTGTCGCCCGTGGTCAGTCACGGGCGCACGGGAGCCGCGATTCCACGCGGCACCCACCCGCGTAGACCGCTTAATGCGCCGAACGTCTCGGCCTCTGCCGACGTAGGTGGAACTCGCCGTTGTTTCGGTGTCATTTGGCACAGAAGTTCGTAGGGTCCCGCAGAGTCAGGCCCAACACTACAGATGCAAATATTAGTGCCGTAAAAATCACTCACCTCCGCACCTGTTTGTGCAGCGCCTCGAGCCAAGACGAGGTGCGGACGACAAACGGGCCGCCTCCGAACGCCCTTCGTGTCTCCCTCCGGTTTGACCTTGAGCATGTCCTTGAACTTTTTACCCCGACCCCACGCGGCGGTCCAGCGGCGCGCGCGCGGCTCGGCAGCCCCAGGTGGCACGTGCCACGGTCACCGCTGCCACCGCCAGCTGCCACTATAGGGACAAGGTCGTCCGCGGGCCATGTCATGTTGCGCGCTCCTCGTCAGAGCCCACGAACTGCGCCGCCCCCCTCCGCTCTACGGCAGTGGCGCGGGACAGCCGGGGCGTCGGCGTGTCGCGCCGCGTCAACCCAGGCTAATGACCTGGGCGACGCCGGCCGTCGCTTGGTGGGCGGGGTCCTGGCGGCCGCGGCCCGGGGACGCGCTCGGGGGCCGCGTCGCCCTTGGCCATGAATGGCGAGCTGTCTACGGCGGTGCCAGCGCGACGCGCCCCCCGTGGCGGCTGGAACGCGCCGCGCCCCGTGCAGTGTCACCGCTTGCTGTGCGGCTGGTACCGATAGTCGGCGGTGACAGTGGCCGTGCCGAGCGGCTGGCACCGATAGTCCGTGTCGACAACCGTCGCCGGCACTGACGGATCGGCGCCGATTTAGGACGACCGCCTTGATTACGTTGACATCGATTGGGGACGGTGTTTTGTTGGCCTCGCGACGTTTTTTGTCGCTACGGACATGGATTTCGATACGTGACACATTAGGTTATTAGGACAACGTTTCTAATAGTCTACAGCATGCCTGCACGCCGGGATATCTGTGGTGGGATCTGTGTAGATGCCATGTTCGGGACACGCGTGTCGGGCCTACGGTCCGACAGATTGCGTTACGAAATAGGGCTTGGGTCGTGGGTGAAGGCACGCCAGGCCACATGACAAATTGATTGGCTGTGGCTTTGATCTCTGCTTGGAGACCCAGGTCAGGAATAAGATGAACAGATTGGATGGGTTCGAATCGTGTTCCATAAATTTATAGCATGGCCAAGGCCATTGGCCATTCATAGCATATTTCTGACATCACATACAATTTAGAAAACAGAACAAATGAAAGATATAAAACCCAAATTAAAAAAAACAGAACGAAACGAAACCTAAAACAGCGTCTCTTAAGATGTAACGTAACATTACGTGAGGTAAAACGTGAGGTGAAATGCAGCTAAAGTACGTTAAGATATTAGGTATGAAACGTAACATACCATTAACAAATAACCCATAGCACAGCAATGCAATCATTGTATAACTACAATCACCCAGATTACACAAATTCGGTGCCCTAAAGTGATTCATCAACTATCATATGCCACCTTGTTCCTTTTTACGCTTATCGGAAACCACCTCAAGGAAAGGGAGTAGAGGGCATCAAATAAATGAAATAAATAGAATCAAATTCAATCTCTCGAAAATCACCTAAGGAGGAAGGTAAATGAAATGAACTCTAATACATTTTATTTCCTTGTAATCTAACACGGTATTTTACGTGCCACTCTCACCCCTAACATGTTCGTAGTAGTTCGGAAGGATGGAGGGATGGAAATAACTCGAGTACAGTTCAGACATATTCTAAGCATTAAAACGCAACATATTCTATACCTGCTAAGGCAAGCTTGTTGCAAGGCCTTTAACTAAACACCCACGCTGTGCCGCCCAGTTCAGTGCCTGTGATAGCATGTCGATGAGCACCTACACTCGCCTGTGCCCAGGTGCCAAGATCCTCCGGAAGGCTTTAGGAATATGACATTACGTGCTTTGCATCATCGCCGCGTGTTCAAGAGTATGGTAGGAGCAAGTATGCACGGCTAGCACCGATGCGGTCCCAGCGCAATCGCCAAGCCTTCCCGTACCCCGCTGACAAGGGCTCCTCTTTCGCGCAGGACGGCGGACGAGAAGGCCGAGTGGCTGGAGGCGCTCTGTTCCGTCATGACCAGCTTCTACGAGCGACGCGCCTCGCTCAAGTCCGACCCGCAGGGCTTCGAGGAGCTGGGCAAGAAGGCGCCGGTGATGCTCCGCCAAGAGGGCGTCTCGCGCTGCATGGAGTGCGAGAGCCAGTTCGGCATGATGAGGCGCAAGCACGGCTGCCACGCCTGCGGCATTGTGAGTGAGCGGGCGCAGTTGGGCCGGAGCGAGCAGGTGCGCCGGGGGCACCTTTGATTGGCGGCGTGTGTGTTTGTGAAGGCGACGCGAGGTGGTTTGGCCCGGCAGAATGTAAGGCAGCTGTGGATCACAGGGATGCGGGCATGACGTGTTCTTACACGCGCCTAATACTTAGATACTTACACGCATTAGCAATGAATACCATCTACCGCGATCTGCATGCATTATTCAAATCACCGGCCCGAATTCCGGAGCAGCCCATTACGTCGTACCGCACGATGATGAATGCCGTGCCGCGCCTGCCGCTGCGGCCAGCAGGTGGCGCGCCCCGCGCCGCAGCCGCCGCCGTGACGTCACAGCCCGCCCTCCGACCGCCAGGTGGTGTGCGGCAAGTGTTCCAGTCACAAGGTGGCGCTGCCTTGCGAGCAAAACAAGCCAGCGCGTGTCTGCAACCGATGTCATCAGCTGCTGGCGGAGCGTGCTGGCCAGGGCGGCGACACTAGCGCCACCACGCCGCGCCGCGAGAGCATCCTCGACGTGTCCTACACGCGTGGCAAGGGTGTACTCGATGTGAGTCCATACCTTCTGTGTGTATGTGAGGGCGGGGGGGGGGGGGAGGGGGTGGACACTTCAGACGGGGTGAGCGGGCAGTTGAAGGCTAGCTTATCAGAGGCAGGTTGTTCTTTCAGGCTTGTAACGATGCATGATACGTCCTTGGTACGTCCTGAATGCACGTCATGGCAGGTTCTCGCTTTTTGAAGGTGAGAATAAGTCATAAACATTAACAATGTTTGCGAGCACGTGCAGTGGGTGAACATAAAGCCTGCCAGTTATAAATGATCGTGCAATCCAGATCTTCCCGTTTCTCCCCCACTGCCTGCTCGTTTGTCTCACGGATGCCTCCCGCCGGCCACCAGGTGCCCGCTGCTTGCGACTCCCTGTTGAGCGGCTACCTCCAGCTGCGCAGCCGCAAGGCCTGGTCACGGCGCTGGTTCTGCCTGCGCGAGGACTTCGTGCTGTACTCGTACCAGGCCGAGGAGGCGCTGAGGGCGCTGACAGCCACCCCCGTGCCCGGCTTCACGGTCACGTGGGGCGGAGCCAGCAGCAAGGCGGAGCCGGGCGTGGCCGACAAGGACAGAGAGCGCACACTCAAGCTCACCCACGTCAGGAAGAGCTACCTGTTCCTCGGGGAGGGCAAGGAGGACATCGGCAGGTGGGTGGAGTGGTGAGGAGCAGTACAGAATTGGATGTCCTTACGGTGCGCCGCAGTAATGCAGCAATGCTACGGCATAACGCAACACCGCCGGTCTGTGCCACTAGCAGGTGCCGGAGAGCAACGTTTCGAAACACTCCACGGCTCGGTGGCCACTCACAGGTGTCTGGGCCTCCAATGCGCCTGACTTCAACCTCCTCCGCAGGTGGGTGGCGGCATTGCAGAAGGCGGCCCGGGCCGAGGCCCTGCCCCAGACCCGGACCGAAGTCTGAGACGCGGCCCCGGCCCAGCGCCTCTCGTGTCGACGTCGGCACGTGCGGCGCGCGCCACGTTCGTCGAAGCGCGACGCCGGGCGCTGCCCAGCCATTAAGCGCGGCGCGTGCCGGTTGGGCCACGTGACCCCCGCGAGGGGGCGCTGGGGACGGAGCGAACTGTTGTGACGTTTCTAAGTGCTGTACAAGGCGTCCCGGCTCTCATCCCTGTGCCGCGGCGCGCCGTTCCAAGGTGCGCTGTTTCACTGAAATGTGTGGAATGTGGTCGTTGAAAGCTGTGACGTGGAATTTGCGTTTGAAGTTGGCAGTCTTGATTCATGTTAGCTAGGGCGGTTTTTTTAGTGAACCTTGAGACTTTCAGTCCCTCCCTCTGTAGTCCCCTTTGGATGCATGCCAGGCAGTTCAGTTGTGTATGAGAACGTTCAGAGAAGGCTCCAGCTCTTCAGTACTACGCTAACTTCATCACATCATCAGACAGCGAGCGTGAGATTGTCAAAAGCAGTGTTCGCCAAAGCAGTGGACGGGCGCAATAACACGGAGGTCTGTTTTGCTGGTTTCCCACGCCTGTGATTCGGCATGTTCTCCTGGGAAGGCGACCTCTTTATTTCGTACAGAGTTTCGTCTGCGTTCTTTCTTTGACATAGTGTTCGCACGACTATGTACTAATAAAGTACCCGCTCCCTTGGTTTCTGCTTCATAACGTGAGAGATCCTTAACGATGTAGATGCTCTGGTAACATCCCCTGTATATGTACGCGGAATTTTCACAGAAACGCGCCTTTTGCCTTTGCCCCTCGGCTCCAGCCCCATGGAGTGATGATTGGCATAATGGTGACTCACGTCAAATCCCCTGGATTCTACTGCCGTCGTTCGCATCTGTCGCCGTGCCACCAATCACCCAAACGCGTCCGCCAAAAACAGCCATCTATTCCAACGAGGTATCAGTGGAACGTCTCAACGCCTAGAAACTTACAAATAGAAGCTTTGGGTAGACAACAGATATGCAGAAGACGGCAAGCCCGCGCACGCGCCGGCGCGCGCCGCCACAGCCCGGATCCCATTTAGCCTGGCGCAGGCCGGCGCCGAAACAACACACATAAATCTATCACATGATCACTTATAACGGGTTAGTGCGCGCACGAGTAAGCGAGAAGACGGCGGCGGCGCCGTGCGAGGGGCGCCGCCGGCGGCAGGGAGGAGAACAGCGCGAGGGGTGAGGAGTTGCGCACGTTGCGGTTTGGCTGCCGGCTCAGGCGTTGATGAGCTGGACGTAGTTGGCGGGGAAGAGGCCGAACTGACCCGCCGGCGACACGCCCTGCCACCAGCCCTCGTCGATCTGCTCGATGTTGGTGACGATGTCGCCCGGGTCGAACGTGATCTCCGTCTCGTCCACTGGCGGCGGACAGTGACGTCAGTGACAGACCAGTGACGTCAGCGGCAGATTAGTGACGTCAGCGGCAGATTAGTGGCGTCGGCGGCAGACCCGTGACGTCAGCGGCAGACCCGTGACGTCAGCGGCAGACCCGTGACGTCAGCAGCAGACCAGTGACGTCAGCAGCAGATCGGTGACGTCAGTAGCAGATAAGTGGATCCGATTTATGGACGCGCTAGCCGCGGTTGTCACTCACAGAGCAATGGTTCGGCCACACCGAACGACGATCGGCGCGGCACCAACAGACGGAGCTCCGAGCAAGGTTTGGCATCTGCCATCTAAGAAAAATAGTATTACAATATAACACTGATAGTCCCTACCGTTCCACAGCTGCATTTTGGATAGCAATGTCTCTCGGTACAAAAGTCCCTTGGCAGCCTACAGTTCGCAAACCCGTACCATCTAAAACGAGACTAGGCGCCAGTCATACATCCAGACCGCCTCCCTATACATAGCTGGCCTAGCCCACCACCGTCCCCAGTCCCTGAGCCGGGCGTGCTCACCGGCCTGGTAGTCGTAGAGCGCCTGGGCACAGAGGCCGTGCTCGGGCGAGATGGCCACCGACGCCAGCTCTCCGGTCACCGTCGTGATCTGTACCTCGCCCGTCAGCAGGCCGCCGTCCGGCGCGCCGCGCTGCTCCGGCTCCGGCTCCGGCTGCGGCGGCGCGCTGACCGGCTCGGCGGGGACCGGCGCGACGGCCGACTGTGCGTACGCCGGGGCGCGGGCTGGCTCCGGAGAGGGAGCGCGAACGGCGGGCACGGCGGGGGCCGGCTCCGGCGAGGGGGTGCGGATGGGCTCCGGGGAGGCGGCGCGGGCCACCGGAGCGGAGGGAGTAAGCTCGGGGGAGGGGGCGCGCGCCACGGCGGCGGCAGTGGCGGGCTGCTTGTAAGCGGAGGCGAGCTCCGCCTGTCTATAGTCCGGTGCCGGGGCCGGGGTCGACTCCGGAACAGGAGCCGGCTCCTCCGCCGCGGCCGTGAACACCGGCGCCGGAGCGGGGGCCGGCTCGGCCGGCGGCGCCGTCGCGTGGTGCGGGGCGCCGCCGCCCGACCGCTGGTGTCCGTTGGCGACGGGCGCCGTTGACGAGCCGTTCTGGTGGGCCGGCGGGAGCCGACCGGCCGTCGACTGCTGGTCCGTGGAATCTGCCCAACACAGGCGGGACAGGGTCACCGGCACAGCGCCAATGCCAGCGAAGACAGACATTCCGCGAAACGTTTGTTTCATGCATGATAACGATCAAACCTCGCCATTTGGAGGAATCGGTATCACGCAATGTGTTGCCTCAATTCCGGGAACTTAGACTTACATACTGTTCCAGCATAGTATAAGCAAAGGCCGGAACCTTCTTCAGACATTCACGTAGTATCCTAGCATAGTCTGGCATGGCACCATTGCACGGTTGGCGGGAGGAAGCAACGGCTAGGCGTGGAAAGTCGCCAGCTGTTGCGGTTAGGCCGTCAAGTACCGCCCGCCCCTCGTCCCAGCCGTCTAACGACAGCGTGGCCGCTTCCTCCCGCTCTGCTCGAAAGATCAACGTCCATAACTGAAGCCAAAGACCGGAAATACCCCGAAAACAGTAGCTTTGTGTGGTGCGATGACTAAGTCCTATGCAGGCTTCCATGAAGTTTATTTGTTGGTGACGCTGGCGTACCCTGCGCCCGTGATGCCGCACTGCAGACCCACCGCAGTCAAAGCTGCCTGGGTCTGGCAACGCCTGGTGCCCAACGCTGCAGCCCTGCCATGATTACAGGTAAAAGCCACGCACAACTCGGCAAGATAGCGGTCTTATCCTGGTCAGTTTAAGCAAACATTAGATACAAGACCCACGCGACGAGTCGACGCGAGAGTCTACCCGTTGCACCTTGCGTGACTTAACTACGCTGTTGCAAGGCTCGGCTTTGCTGAGGAAGTGGATCAGAGGCTGAGCAGTGTTCGCGTTGCAAAGCATATCGTTCAGCGACTCATAGTGCGTACGTTGCTAGATCAGCACCGTTCTCCTTGTACCTATGTGTTATGTTTCGTGTCTTTCTGTGGACGTTCCATGAACCTGCACACGGGGGATGTAGCGGCACGCGGCATGCGACCGCTTCTGTGAAGTTGAAGATCACGTTCTTTCCACAGCCCACTCAACTGTCGGACGCCAGGTGCCAGCTCACCCCCGCACTGGTGCGGGTGAGAGGGAGGGGGGGGGGGGGGGGGGCTCACGTGAGGCGGCGACGGGCGGCCAGCGGCGCGCCACGCCGCCGGACGCGCCGCCCACCGGGCTGGTGGGGCTAGTCAGTTGGCCAGCGGCCGTGTGGCTCTCGAACACGGCCCGGGCCGCGCCCGTCCGGTGCCCGATCAGCTGCTGCGCCTCCTGCCGGGACAGCCGGGAGACCACCGTCAGCGGATCACGGCACGTGCCGAAACACGAGCCACAAGGGAGCCACAGGGAGGCGAGCCGTGGTCAGCGGGTCACGGCACGTGCCGAAACACGAGCCACGAGGAGCGGGGAGGTGAGCCGTGGTCAGCCGGTCACGGCACGTGCCGAAACACGAGCCACGAGGGGCGGGGAGGTGAGCCGTGGTCAGCGGGCACGTGCCGAAACACGAGCCACGGGGGGTGGGAAGGTAAGCCGTGATCAGCGGGTTACGGCAGGTGCCGAAACACGGGCCACAAGGGGCGGGGAGGTGAGTCGTGATTAGCTGCCGCACCCTGCCCCGGACCGCCGACGACGTAGCGAACCAAACGTAGGCCAGTCTTCCGACAGTGTTCCCATGCTGTAGCTCCCTGTGACCTGCTCCACGCCACGCCGCACTCCGCCCCGTCCGCCACCCGACGTGTCCCGCCGCTTGGCACCTCGGCCACGCCGGCACGCCGCCACCCACCTGTTTGCGCTCCATCCGGAGTCGGTCGGCGCGGTGCTTGCGCTCCTCCTCGTCAAGCCGGTCCTGCTCGCGGTGCTCCTGCCAGCGCGCCGCCTCCTGGTCGCTCTGTGATAGCACGCGCTCTGCCTTACGCTCCGCCTGGCGGGCCTCGTTGATGCTGCGGCTCCGCTCGAGCGCCTGGTGCTCGCGCGACCTGGCCTCGTCCATCTGAGGGCAAGGCGCCGTCAGCAAGACAGCGCTGGAAGCGGCGCGCTGTATGGCGGCATAGCAGCAGTGCCGATGCGGCGATGTCAGCCACGTAACATGCAGCGGCAGTGGCGCCATCTCGCCGCGGCTCGCCCCAGCTCGGCTGACGACACAAGTGGTCTGGAACGGACACGACCCCAGCGCCCTCCACAGCACATCGCCGCCAGCTGCTGCCGTTACAGCCGGAGCCCGCCCCCGCTCCGACCTCCCGTCGTCAGCCCACCTCGCGCCGGTTGCGCTCGGTCTCGAGCCGGGCCTTCTCGTCGCCGGCGCGGCGCAGCTCCTCCTGCTGGCGCTGGCGCTCCTCCTGCTCCTGCTGCTCCCAGAACCGGTCGCGCGCGCTCAGGTCGATCTCGGCCGCCGGCACGATGCGTCGGTAGTTAGAGCCCTGCGAAGCGAGGCTCGCGCTGAAGACTCGGGATGGCACGTACAACGTGGCGGGTCTCTGTGTGAAAAGGATGTCATGGAAGCACATAAAGACAAAGCGAGAAGTGATCCCAAAAAGGCACAAGACGACAACAAGGACGCTTAAGACATATCACGTTCGAGGCAGCACGGAAAGCACATTGGGCTGGGCATAACTCCGACTGGTAACAAATACAGAACACGACGAAAACTATTTGAGGCATCACATTTGACACGGTTTCCTTCAGCACTACCATAGCCGCCTAGCCACTCCACGGGCAGCGCTCGCCCGCTCGATGTCGGCCACCGCCAGTGTCCAGCGCCGCCGCCGCGCTCACCACCGGCTTGGTCTGCGGACTGGTCTCGGTCGAGCGCTGCCGGAAGTTGTAGACGGACGAGCCGGCGCGCGCCAGCTTCTCCAGGATGGCCTCCTCGTCCACCTCGTCCTCGTCGCGCGCCTGCACCGTCACGTGGTGGCCGTGCAGCAGGGCGGCCACGTCACGCATGTGGTTCGTGCATGAGCCCTTCCGAGTCATCGGCGCCCCCTCGCCTTGCTGCGAACAAGCACGCGACGTGACAGCGGGCACTCGAAGTGTGATGACGTACCATGCATGAACTTAAGAGTCCCACAATACTCCACTGCATGTGCCTGCTGGAAGTCTGTGGGTACCAGAACACCCCCACAAAGCAGGACAGCCTTCCTCCCCAGCCTGCATCTTGCCATGCTCACATGTACTGGCCTGAAAGCCCCATCAAGCTTGACACATGGGAGTGCAGGTGTCTGGGACAGTTGAGTAGCTCCTCTGTAGTCACCATGTTGATGATGGTAAGTCTAAACTTTGCAGGCCATCCCCACCATTCATGAATATCAACCTGTTGTTAACATCTGATCCTAGAGAACATACACCAACTGAGGAGGAAAACACATAACTGTCCCTAATGGCAGAACTGGAGGCATATGCTCCTCCCACTGGAGGTGGTGCAGTCTCTCTCTACTAAAAAGTTAAAATAATCCTTGACAGTGTAAGATGCCTGATGGTGTACCTGGGTTTTTGCCCATGGATGAAATCTGACCAAGTTTTTCATATTCCAAGGCCCTTTTTACATGCTCCCTGTTTGAGGCCTTTCTATGTATTGATGGCTCACTTTTCCAGTCAGATCATGTTTTGTACATTCTCACACTTTGGAGACACTTTGAACAATATCAACCCACAAACATGAAAGCTTTCTGCCTTACAAAATCCCATGCTTCTCAGAATGCCTCTGGCCTCCAGAATGGATGTATGTGCCATCCAGGGGTGGGGGAGGGGTAGAGGGTAGGGGATAGGGGGTAGGGGGTAGGGGGTAGGGGGTAGGGGGTAGGGGGTAGGGGGTGGGGGCAGGCATAGCAACATGGCTTCTTTTGCTTAGACAATTTAGGTGCCAACACCACCCAGATCCAGAACCTGTGCATGATAACTGAGCCCAAAGGTATCAGAGACACCAAGAATGATGGGATAAGGATGAAACTAGCTTGGATCAGTTACAATCCTACTAGCTTCTTTTCAGCACCAGATGACATATAGAAACAATATTAATTTATAACATTCCTACAGCCATGCAATGCCTATCATTACTCACCTATGCTTGTTATTTTGTAAAAATGCTGCTTTTAAATTATATGACAACCTTCAAGCCTCAGGGGTTCTTCTGAATATTTAGGGCTGCCTGGCCCCTGGATGCTCTTCTTGGATAAGCTGCTACACAAGCAACATATCTAATAGCCAACTTTATAACTTTAAGACATTCTTAATTTTCTAGCCAAAAATTAAAACCATAAGCATGACAAATAAAAAAGACTGCACCTAGTTCCATTTTTTACTAAGATAAGCACAACTGACCAGCAGTTAGTCAAAGTGCTGCTCCAAGAAAGCCTCAAGAAAACATCCAAAGTAATTTAATGGGCCAATCCTAGATAATATATCTGTACAATGATGAACCTGGTTTTTCTTCAACTCTAGTATGCACACATTGCTGAGACTTCCCTGATTGCCACATGATAATCAATCATTTCAAAAGGCAATACAATAAATGCTTGATGACTTCTAGGCCTTACTTACCCAGTTGATGAGCACATATTTGGGAAGGCTGGTCTTTGGATCCATCATGCGGCAGAACCCGTACATTATTTGGTTACTGTTCAAATCCTCGCTTAACTCTGTCAGTCCACCATCCCCAGTGGAGACAACCTTGAGTGTATTGGAGTGCCCATCATATCCAAATAGTGCCCTGCAAAGGAGAGGAAATGGACATGCCACACATAATAGGCACTTCTGACAAAAAACAATCCCAATGGACAAAGAAAACATCAGGACACCAATTATTTATCTTCTTGAGTTTATATTCTGGTACATGCACTTTGCATGACTTATGAAATAAGGGATTGCTTGCAAGATGATCATAGATGCATGAACATGTAAAAAAGACATATTGTACCAAACTGGGATAGACAATCACATAAATCACAGGTGATATCAAGTTGCTCATCCACATACCAGTCTGTTGCAGTTTTATCATCTGTGACATCCTTCCACGCTGCAACCAGCTTGGCTTCGTGGGTCCTCAAATCAATTGACATGGCTTAATTCAAGCAAATTTTAGTTCAAGTCTAAATCACCAAATTCCTCCTTCAAACAGGAAAAGGACCATCATAGGTACCGAGGCCAAACTTGAGACCGGAGCCTGATATGGCGACCACCAGACGACCTTCTCAAACTTGCTGCCCCAGTCTTCCCCACAACGATCAGTCCGAGAAACACTTCTTCCACAATCACGATCTTCAAGCACGTTCCGCTACCACAAATTTCGCCTTAACAATCTACCCCACCAATCTCCGTCGGGCGACCGGCTCTACGCACCGCGCATTTCACTTTGACACGCGACGAAGATGCCATCTATACAAACATTCAGCCGGGGACTCCTCCGTGAAAATACGCGTACACCCTTTCGTCGTGATTAGTTTTTGACGTCAAAGGTGTCGAATGGCAAGGTTTATGAAAATGACGTCATGATCGAGGACAGAAATGTTAGAGGATTCTTTGCACGACATTAAGGGTTGTCATCAAAATGCATTAGCCGACACAACATGACTCTTACACAACTTTGATTTAAATATTGTGAAAAAATATGCTATGCACCAATCAAAGCAAGGTAGTCCAAGCAAATTTCAAGCCTTGACACTGTTCGGGGCATTTTGATTTCATTTGTCAAATTATACATCCAAGATGACGTGCCTGGCTGCTACTTGACGGCTATGATAGATGGAAAGGCTTTATCTTGTAACTGATTTAATATTTACCCCATAGCGCAGCTGTAAGGCGTCATTTTAACGGTTAACAGCACGACATCTTGCCGAAAACAGCAAAACATGCAACCACCAAAATTTGGTAGCTCTTAGCTGGCGGGAAAACCACGCACCTGTTTCGAAAAGAGCAAAGTTTTTGCACACGGTATTGGTTGCAACACTGCGGTTATTCCATGTCATTTTGCTCTCAGAAATGTCTGGTTTGGGCATCGTTTCTTAGAAATTCACGACACCAGAGAGTTGTTCAAACCCTTTCCTTGCCATTTCTATTGCTATAGTTGCACCAATGAACTGAAATATTTATATGGAAGGGATCAGGTATGAGGGTTTCAGGGACAGAAGCCTAATTGAGTCTATGGCCCAATGACTCGTCCCATAATGGTGTATCCATTTGTCATCCTCTGTTGTCTGATGCTCTCCATTCCTGCTTCATATGGAGGTAATTCCTGTGGGATGAATCTATTTTATCAATGCCGTATTTGGATGCTCATGCATGCTTTTAGTGCATTGTGAATATTTAATCATGCTGGTGAATCACGCACAATTTGCAGTGTGTTTTCAGATAGGTGTTGTTCGATATGTAGGGGCTGGCCATATAGTGTGAGTTTCCCAATGTTACAATGAAAGTTAGCTCATGTCTGTGAGGGAATGTTCATACTACTTTATTTTTATACCTGTAAATTCATGTCCATTTTCAGTTATCTTGGTCATCTTTTAATGGTGCTGTTATCCCATTGTATAGATGGTTACTATGTGTGGCTTTTGTTATGGTTGTCACAGTCCTTACTTTATATGTTTAAGAATGTAATAATGTGCACTATTGCATATGACTGATGACATCATACTCTTGGCTTTGCAGGGCTGCAAGAACTGGTCATAACTTTTCTCAGTCAAAAGAATCCATATCATATTCAGCAAGCAACATCATCAAAATATTTGCTTCTTAGTGACTGCATATCACAGAACATAGTAAGCACAATAATGCATCATTTTGTTTTGAAACTGCTCATTCCAGAACAGAAGTTTGGACATCAGACTTAGCCTTTTCTCCAAATTGGTTAGCTTAGAGTTGGAGGTATCAAGCTATGATAGTGCTTATGGTTCATGGTGTGGTTAAGCTCTAACATAACATTAGCTACATGAGGCAGTAAGTGACATAAGATCAGTTACCCTGACTGGTATTAATGTTACGTGGTCCAGCAACTTAACCCCTTGATACCCTTTCACCCTCCTTTGTGCCTTTTCAACAAATTGTATCTGGACAGTCTTTTTTATAAGCATTGCATACCAAAGAGTATATTGTTTTTGTTCATAAATTTTGCAATGCTTTCAATCTTATCAGCCTATTAGAATACTGTCATGACAATCATGACATATAATATTACATGACATGACATATAATAGGACAGTCATGTCCTATTTTATGATGTCTAGGCTATGTCAGATATCTTCTGTAGCATATCATCCATCAATTTAATTCATGACTGGTCCATTCAGGTTCCCAGATGTAAGAAATGTGGCAAAATTATAGTCCTGGTCCCATCATGACTGCACCTAAAATTATGCCTTCAATTGGGAGCTATTGCCTGATGCACTGTTTTCACTGGTAGCTGCAGTCTGTACAGCCTGCTGCCCAGTTTTGCCCTGCCTGGTCTTATCTGTCAGCAGTTAATGGATGGTGACCACACACACTGCTGGGAAAGGTGAAAATCCAGCTGTGCAATGGCTCACACCTACAACTGTAGGATTTGTGGTCTTGTGTATGTACATTTTCAAGCTGTAGCCTCAAAATATTAGTCAATGTCATCAATGGAATATTTTTGGTTGATATGGTGCCTAATTCACCTGGGTTTCTAAGTGATTCTTCCAAACATATGTGTGGATAGCTCATTGACTGCATACTTGAAGGAGAAGTGGTAATCATCATTGATCTTATTGAATGTGATGCCATCATAGAGAACCGAAAGTCTGGTGGCTGCAGTGACTTTGCAAGCAAAATAGCATTTTTGGTTTAAATTAAATGTCTTTTTTAAGGCCATGATATGTATGCATGCATGTCTACTGGTGTGCATGTGTGTGTACATGCATGTATACTATGTGTATGTGTATGTACAAATGTACATGTACTTGTGGGTGCATGCACATAAGATGGGCAAAGGCCATGCTATCTCTTGTGTAGCGAGATGAACAGGGCCAGTGCTTACCCCCAAGTAAGACATTTGCCCTTACTTTCCAGTCTGTCCCAGTTGTTCATCTGGCACATGAGGACTTCCATGACATCCACTACTGGACCATCTTTCCCCTGCTACCCATGTAGGTATTTTGCCTGCAAAATCCAAGTGCTTACAATGCTGCCTACAGGATGTGGCAGGTGCCTACAGTTAGACACATTGGTCGATTTTACTGGATCATGACTTGGGAAATGGGTCATGTTTGCCAGATACCTTCAGAAATCGGAATGTCTATTTAGTCATATGCTCCAATTTAAAAGAGCATTCCTCCTTAAATCTTTAAGACACATTATGTTTGTGTTCAAAAACCCATGCAACCAAGATGCACATATAACACTAAAAGTTGGGAACATTGTACACTCTGGAGCCATTGCAGACATATCTCTGAATATTGCTGACTACAGCAGACATGTCTGGCTGTAAGCCTTCACAAAAAGATCTTAGCACATTGTGGTATCTGGTGCAGCATGTGATTGTTGCATGTATGTTTTATACACATATTTATAGTCATATGTTTTTGACAGGTTTTTCCAATATGACCTTTTAATTTAAATTATTAGTTGCAAACACAGCCATTTATCAATGTTGAATGTTCCTTTCTGTTATAATGCTTGCATTGCAATGCTGCTCATGTAGGGTATCACCATGCTCTTTGTGGCAGCTTGTCAAGAAGGCATGGACAAAATGCATCCTGGTTCTTCTTTGGGACTGAAGGCACACATATCAAGCCAGCACCCATGGCTTCTCTTCTGTCCAAGTTCACTCCCGACCAGGTACGTTCATGGTACATCGTGCTCCATCAATGCTCGCCATCAGCGTGCTCAGTGTATGCTGATGTGCTAACAAACTCAAAGCTGTGGTGGTAATTCACCGTGCGTTCTGTCAAACCATGTGTTTTCGGTATGTCTGTGACTGTTCGACACGTCCTCTGTTTACCATGCTCACGGCCGGATCATTCGTTTCTTCATCGACCGCCTGGTCCAGGGTCTGTTCTCACAGTGCCTACTGCTGAGTCTAATCTCAGCAGCGCCTTCTGCTGCTGCCTCGCGTCGCTTCAGTTGGTCTGCAGCTCGCCGTGTAAGGCTCATTCGTGGTCGTGGCGTCAGCCAGTGCACCGCCGCCCCGCGGGGCCCCACCCTGGCACTCCTCGCGCTGGTCCTCCACTCCAGGTCCTGCCTGTCTGTGGTTCTGTGTCGTTTTGTCGTCCGCTGCTCTGACGGTGCGCCGCCCCGCCCGGCAGGAGGTGCTCCTGGGCCGGTCGCTGCGGGACCGCGAGCCCACCATCGTGCACCACTTCGCCTTCCATGACGACCCGGGCCGGTTCGCGTACCCGGACCTGGCGGCCGGCCTACTCATGTCTGTCTCCCTGCTCAATAGGTGGGGCACCACCGCGTGTCCGCGTCGCGTGACGGGGTGTACCCCGACATTTGTGTCCGACCTGGCTCCTGTCGGGGTCACGGCACCAACACTTTTGGTTGTGACTCCTCACTTGTGAACTGCCCCAATGATTAATTGCGCCCAGTCTGAACTTTTTGCATCTTTACGCTGATGTTCATTCATCGAACACCTTTGGGTTTACAATTGAAGGGGGCATGCACATAAGCTTTTATGTTTAACGGATCGTGTTTCTTCATAATACTCCTCCACGATCCGATGCTGAATTGTTCTCAGACCAATCCGTTTCCACCGAACGGGTTCTGGGCGCGTCTCGCTCGGCTGAACTGTACCCCGGACGTGTCGTGAATGAGTACCCCGGACGTGTCGTGAGTGTGTACCCCGGACGTGTTGTGAGTGAGTACCCCGGACGTGGGTCCCCTCTGAAGTCGTGTGCCGGCCGTGTGCGCCAGTCTGGCGCGGCGCTACTCGCAGCTGCCTGCACCGCCGGTCGACTTCTCCATCGACCCGATGCACGAGCTGGCCCTGTTTGCGTGGCGCGAGGGCGAGGGGCCGTCCCTCAGCGACAGTGGCGCCCTCTGCGTGGCGCCCGCCGCCGGCTGCGCCACCGAGCAGCGGCCGCCGCCGGCCTGCGTGAGTGGACTCGCGTGAGCGGTCGTCGGGCCAGCCACCGCGCGCTGACGACCCTGGGGCCGGCTAGTGTCAGGGCGGGCGGAGGTGCGGCGGAGTGTGCCCTGACTGGGCGCCCAGGCACACATGCATTTTGCCTTGACGCGCTCAGAAGTATGGGATGTGGATAGAGCTACCTCTGGTATCGATGAACAAACGTCTCCAACCCTGCGTGCTGTTGGATAGTGCTGAAACGCTGAGATGGCTGCGATCATAAGTGTAAAGTGATGGTAGGTGGTGACTTATTTGTTGATTATTACTGCCCTCCGGCTCAGGCTTTCTTTTCTGACAACGATGTGCCGTCGACCGCTGCTTTTGGACGTGCCGAAATCACAGATTAAACAAGCAACGTGAATATCTGTGCAGTCTGCGCGGGTCGTTTTTTACTTTTTGCTTCCCGCTGTTTTTATATGTTGTACGTGATGTTCTAAAAGAACTGAGCTTGCATGGATGGACACGACATGCACGAGTATGAATAAGAACACGAACACATTTCCCAACACTATCGCAATGACTCCGCCGCCGTCATCAGTCGGGAGAGTTGGACGCCTCATCGGTGCACTACGCCGTGAAGACGTGTGCCAAGTTCCACAAGAGCCGCCTGCCTGTAGTGCGCGAGACCTGGGCCCGGGACGCCGTCCACGTGCGCTACTACAGCGACGAGGCAGGTACGGCTAGAGTCGAGGGCCGCTCGCGCCGCTCCGTAGGTCGCCGGCGGTCGGTGATGAACAGGCGCCGGCTGTACGGGAGCGGTGGATGTGCGGGCAGATCGAGTGCTCCGCCGGTATCGGAACAGTGCGACGATCTGCATCGAGCATGTTGCCTTTGCAAGCTAAGCCTTGCCGGCTCAAACCCAGGTGGATAATTCGGAAGGATATCTAACGTGTTTTTGGCGAGCTGGCAAGAAGCTTTAAAACTGATGCGTGGAACCGTTTTAGAATTGCCACAACTGATGCGAAAGCCCTGTGTTCGATGTTCCATCCAGTGATTGTTTACTTTCTTGATGATCATGGTAGATGTTGCATTACCGCATCACCCTGAATAGACGGACCTTCTGGCGGATCGAAATGCTGTAGGGCACTGTTACATTGACGTACGGGGCGGGACAGCCTGCTGCCGCGGCGGGCCAGACCGTGCCTGCTGCTGACGCCTGCGCCGGCTCCGCCAGACGAGCTTTACGGCACCATCAGCGTGGGTGTCGCCAACACGGAGCGCGGCCACTGCGCCAAGACGCTGCGCATCCTGCAGCGCTCGGCCGCCGTCGCTGGCCTGCGCTGGCTGGTGGTGGCCGACGACGATACCATGCTCAGGTGAGGCGGCGCCCGCCCGCTCCCCGGAGAGACGGCACGCCCCGGGTCAGTGTGCCACTCTGACCTTGGCGTGGGGAGTGCAAAAGGATCCAGCTCTCTGGAGAGACGGCACGCCCCGGGTCAGTGTGCCACTCTGACCTTGGCGTGGGGAGTGCAAAAGGATCCCGATCCCAGAAGAGACGGCACGCTCCGGGTCAGTGTGCCACTCTGGCTGGGGTGTGGGAGCACCAGAGGATAAGGCGACGCTCGCCCACTCCCAGAAGAGACGGCACGTGCCGGGCCAGTGTGCTACTCAGGCCTTGGTGTAGGGAGCGCCACAGGATATGTGGTGCATGAGATGTGCTTGCATCACTCTCAGTATTGAAGAACAAGGAAAGGTCAGCTTTCTAGAAAGGCTCTGTTGTCATGAGCTCGTCGGCTACCTGTCCGCTAATCTTCAGTTTTGTTATCAGTTTCGTAATGAACAAGTGGTTAACACTTCCGGCTCCCGTTTAGGTTCGGGATCGAACACCGGCAAAGCCATGGCCTCTAAGCTCTGGTATGACCTATGCACTTGCTGGCTCTCCATGGAAGGCTGCTTGACTTCCTCGTCCGTCCAGCCATCTGCGTGGACCCCAGACTCCGTTGCTCCTGAACGTCGAGCAACTCAGTGCATGGAACCAGTCGCAGGGCTGCAGCACTAGTTTACGAGCAGGTCCCAGCACCTTACCCGTCCGTAGCGCATCTCGCGTGCCGTGGTCCCCGAGCTAGTGCTGTGCCGCGGCCTGACCTTGTCCGCTCGGCCGCAGCGTGCCCCGTCTGCACCAGCTGCTGGCCTGCTACAGCCCGAGTGAGCCGCTCTTGCTGGGCGAGCGGTACGGCTTCCGCACCTCCGGCGGCGGCGGCGCCGGAGGCTACAGCTACATCACCGGCGGCGGAGGTCAGTCGGGCGCGCGCCAGCCACTCATCCGGCCACCTCGCGCCCAGCGCCGCGAGGTGGGACCTGCTGGCCCTTATCGAACGCACTTTATGCGCCTGCGTGTCGATGCGAGAGACCTACCGGACTGGCATAATGTGCTTGTAGTCCTGCCGTCTTAGTAGCTGGCCGGGGATTTTTTTTTGCTGTACACCCTTCAGGTTTAAGCTATGTGGTCTCACATACTCATCCCTGCAAATACTGCGTTGGTCTGCGATATGCTTTATACCACCGTGTGCTCGTGGAGCGACACGAGCCTGGGCGCTGGAGCCGGTGCCGAGCCGTGCGGTGACGGCGGTGCCGGTGGCCGGTCAGGGATGGTGCTGAGCGTGGAGGCAGTGCGCCGGCTGAGCGCGAGCTGCCGCTGCCCGACGGCCGACACGCCCGACGACATGCAGCTGGGCCTGTGCGCCGCCGCCGCCAGCATCACGCTCGTCCACTCGCCCCGCTTCCACCAGGTCAGCGGAAAGGCAGGCCAACTGTATGACTGACGGGTGGCGTGTGGTCGTGGTCATGTGATGTGGGAGCTGGGGAGGCGCAGCTCGTGCCGTGGCGTAACCTGGGATGTCTCTGAGAATGCACAACTCTGTATAGTGACATCCAACCTCTAGCCTCACATCTGAACGGTGGTATGGCCAAGTGCGAACGTGGTGACCCGATCTTATGCGAACCGGGCGGTGTTTGACCTGTCCAGATTTATGACATGAACCCGCGAAGGCGAACCCGCGTACCATCCTGGTGACCTGACCTCCCGTGTCCCGAGACGAGCCCGCGTGCCTTCCAGGTCACCTGACCTCCCCTGTCTCGAGACGAGCCCGCGTGCCACTATAGTCACCTGACCTCCCGTGTCCCGAGACCAGCCCGCGTGCCGTCCAGGTCACCTGACCTCCCGTGTCCTGAGCCAACCCGCGTGCCTTCCAGGTGACCTGACCTCCCCTGTCTCGAGACGAGCCCGCGTGCCATTATAGTCACCTGACCTCCCGTGTCCCGCGGCGGGCCCGCGTGCCGTCCCGGTGACCTGACCTCCCCTGTCTCGAGACGAGCCCGCGTACCGTCCAGGTCACCTGGCCTCCCCTGTCCCGAGACGAGCCCGCGTGCCATTATAGTCACCTGACCTCCCCTGTCTCGAGACGAGCCCGCGTACCATTATAGTCACCTGACCTCCTCTGTCCCGAGACGAGCCCGCGTGCCATTATAGTCACCTGACCTCCCCTGTCTCGAGACGAGCCCGCGTGCCATTATAGTCACCTGACCTCCTCTGTCCCGAGACGAGCCCGCGTGCCATTATAGTCACCTGGCCTCCCCTGTCCCGAGACGAGCCCGCGTGCCATTATAGTCACCTGACCTCCCGTGTCCCGCGGCGGGCCCGCGTACCGTCCAGGTCACCTGGCCTCCCCTGTCTCGAGACGAGCCCGCGTACCGTCCAGGTCACCTGGCCTCCCCTGTCCCGAGACGAGCCCGCGTGCCATTATAGTCACCTGACCTCCCCTGTCTCGAGACGAGCCCGCGTGCCATTATAGTCACCTGACCTCCTCTGTCTCGAGACGAGCCCGCGTGTCATTATAGTCACCTGACCTCCCGTGTCCCGAGACGAGCCCGCGTGCCGTCCAGGTCACCTGGCCTCCCCTGTCCCGAGACGAGCCCGCGTGCCGTCCAGATGACCTGACCTCCCGTCCTGAGACGAGCCTGTGTGTCGTCCAGGTCACCTGGCATCCCCTGTCCCGAGGCGAGCCCGCGTGCCGTCCAGGTGACCTGACCTCGCCTGACGTTCGCCGTGTCGACAGGCGCGGCCGCCCGACTACCCGGCCGAGGTGCTTACCCACAGCCGGCCCGTGTCGTTCCACAAACACTGGATGATCGACCCGCGCGCCGTGTACCGCACCTGGCTGCAGGAGCCACGGCCGGCGGCGGAGCGGCACTCGGAGCTGTGAGCCGCGCCTGACGTCGCCCCGCGCCCGGCGGCGGGGGCCAGCGCCAGGACGGCCGCGGAGGGATGATGTGGCAAGCTCCGGCCAGGGGAGGCTTGGCTCGCGGCACCGGTGCAGCCGAGGCCGATGCAGGCGCCGGGGTGGCGGGGGTGGGCGGTCAGACGAGGCACCGGCCGGGGAGGCACGGCTCGCGGCACCGGTGCGGCCGAGGCAGGCGCCGGGGTGGCGGGGGTGGGCGGCCAGGCGAGACACGGCCAGCGGCGGCGGAGCGGCTGGGGCTGCCCGCGCCGCAGTGCAGGGCTCGGCGATGGATGTGATGGAGGAATGATGTTATTGCTTACCACTGGTATTGTGCGCGGTATGATTGACCAGACTTGCGTTATGAGAAGAGAACCGCGTCGTTCACAAGTACTTGATGTGTGCACAAGTACCACTGCATATCTTTGTTGTCAATGCATGCCATTCGTTCACTGATATTACGTTTCATTACGCGACTCAAAGCCTGACAACCACAAAGTATTATGTTGAGAAACACAGCGTTTCCGCCCCAGTTACCAGAAACACTCACTAGTGTAATGTGAGTACCACTGCACGTACGCCACTCTTCGGTCGCCTGTTGTCGACCCGATAGTCAGTAATCATCAGCTACCACTCACCGACGTCTCCAAAGGTGTCGTTAACCCGCTGATGATGTGTGACTGCGTACTGTGCGTATAGAGCATCTTCATAGCGTAGCTGCTCCAATTTTCTGCACTAACAGTTCTTTCGTGACGTTTCTCGAGTGGTCAGTTTTTACAGCTCCAAGAGCTTGTTTGTATCTCTATCTAACACAAACAAACACTCTATCAGTGTTTGCGGTTGTATTGGCAATCGTGCGTGAGCAAACCCGTTTTAATTAGGACTGTTTGTTCAGTGCAGTGTCGTCACCTGCGTCGAGGAATTTCACGATCTTCTTGCTGTATTGCCACTCAGAACCGGTGTGTGTGTGCCCGTGGGTGCACGTGACACGCGGGGTGTGGTTGCCGACGTCCATCTGATGCCTGGGGCACAGCTTCACGCGATGGTGTTAGGTGGGTCAGTGCTACCACGCCGAGATGGGTGAAGCTTGCGCTTATTCTTCGCCATGTGTATCATATCAGAGTATTGTGCCATATCAAGCCATTGTCCCGATGTGCTGGGATTTGGGAACCTTTACAGATATTTACAGATCCGTCACGGAGTCACCGGTAGTGTGCGTACAGAGGTGGCTTTGACGTCACATTTTCGCTGTTTTTGTGGTCTTAAATGTTTATCTACCTGGGTGTGACCACGCTTCATAGACTGCTGAGGGCAAATGAGAAACTGGGGGAGGGGGGGGGGGGACACAATCTGACCGGAAAATTGCGAAGCATACTCTTTGCGACGAAAATGAGGAGGAAAATGCTGATTTGACAAAATTCCTGGTGGCACGTCCCTCCCCCAACATTGGTTACACCTGCTTTCTTGCCATACACGTGTTCAAATAGCCATATCGTGAAGCAAGGCTGCGAGTGACACCTCGCGCATGTCGCAGCCATATCCCGCGTGGCCTGCGCCTGCCCGTGACTGTTACGCATATCCCAGCCAAGTCGCGCGCGGCCTGCGCCTGGCCATGACTGTTACGCATATCCCAGCCATATCGCGCGCGGTCTGCGCCTGGCCGTGACTGTTACGCATATCTCAGCCGTATCGCGCGCGGCGTGCGCCTGCCCGTTATTGCTCACGCATATCTCAGCCATTTCGCGAGCGGCGTGCGCCTGCCCGTGACTTTTACGCATATCCCAGCCATATCGCGCGCGGCCTGCGCCTGGCCATGACTGTGTCGCACTCGTGTGTCTGCATGCTGGGTCGTTGGCCGTCGCACTTCGCCACGCTATGAAATGTCAGCCCAACCTCATGGGGGTTCTCCGTTTATCGAAAGCGTGTTTAGTCTCGTGTGTTTGGGAGAGTAATATAAGGTCGTACTGCGTACATCGTTGTTTTAGTTGTATCTTGGTATTGTTTTAGTCGAGGCGAATCGAGTGTAATACTTAATTGTTGCATCGGGTTCGTGCGTGGATTATCTGAAAGAAAAACAGCTAGATGCGAGCCGCGAGATTTTATCGTAAGTTCTGGTCAAACAAGAGGCTCGTTTAGTCCGCTTGGCTACGGATGCAAAATGCCCGCTGCAGTGGAATCGCCCCTGATCCCCACATGCCATCTAATACTTGGTTTGTAACATGCATTATACATGTGTTAGCAACAGAGACAGTATGTTCAAAAATGGATGTTAGGTACATGAGCTAGAGCTCGAGGCTCGTTTAGTCTGCTTGGTTACGGGTGCAACATGCCCGCTACAATCCAAGCGCTCCTGCACCCCGAAGTATCATCAACGTCCGCTTGGTTTGTAATGTGCACTATCAATGTGTTGCAAACAGAGGCAGCATGTTCAAAAGCGGATCTGCTTGTTACAGAAGCAATAGGTTTGTGGCAGTGACTTCGAGACAGGCGCGAAGCGTGGTCATCGCAGACCAATGGGAATAATAACTGACATCTGCTCGCCGCCGCCCCTTCGCAGAGCCCTGCTTGAAATTATAACAGACCTAATATGCAGACAATATAATAACAGACCTAATAATAACAAATAATAACAGACCTAATATAAAATATGCAGACCTAAAAATAACTAAAAGGAGCTTGAATGAACACATGCAGCCACGGCAGTCTGTGAGCTCTTAAACACCAATCACAACACAACCAGTCCGGTCCAGGACGCCCCCCGCAGACCCGGCGCTTTACCGCCGCGATCATCGCTGACACCGACAGAAGAGCATCCAGCTCTGCAGAAGCCGCGTTCTTAGTCCGTCGCCGACCCGCACAGCCGGCATACCAGCCGCCGGCCGCGGCGCCCGTTCGACTTCCGCGCGCTAGTGGGCTTACGTTACCTGGCGAGGACGACAGCGTTCTGAAAGTGACATCGCGACAGGCTGTGCCCGTGCCGCTCGACCATAACGCGGCCGCTTGTTTTGTTTGCTCTACATGACCATAGACGTGGCTACGCGCGTTGACCTCCGCGTTCGTATAGCGCCGTATATCGTAAACACTGCATGCTTGTTGCGTCAATATATTTGCACTCTGTCCCCGCAATGGTAAACGTCCTGTTAATACCAATACTTCCTACATCCCTTTTCCTAACATTATCTCACATTTTCATTCATACGATCAAGACCGGCAAGGTACGCCTTTCCTTGCATTCAACCCTGATTACGTTCGCTTACTACAACCAGTTCTCTCTGTTGTACATGTGTGGAAGCGTTATCCACTCATTATGGCGCCCGCAAGTTCCGCCACGTCGTCTGTAAACTCGACGCGTCTGTTCACACGGCCGGAACCGCGGACATTTGCAGGTCTCTGCGAAGGGATGGCCTCCACCGACCTCCGCCCGGCCCTGACCACGCTGCGTTCCGATGACGTTACCGGAGAATGAACGCTTCGTCGGACTGCGCCGCATGTAAAAGGTTTGTAGAAGGACGGAGAACGAGTCGCACAGGCAACACAGGTGCCAGGTCGCAACAGCTTAACAATTCCTTCCGAAACCTTCGTAAAAGGCGGCCTAAAAGTAAGGGGCGATTCCCTTCCTTCCCGACGACCCCGTCAGTCCGGCCCTGAGTACGGCGGTGGCTGCTTACACGGCCTCCAGCAGCAGGGCAATGCCCTGGCCACCGCCGATGCATGCCGAGCCGATGGCGTACTTCTCGCCGCGCCGCCTGCGGGACGGCAGCTGTTAGCGACGGCAGCTGTTCGCCGCCAGCGGGACACTTCTGGTCGGCCGCGGCGAGGCGGACCAAACGACAACCAACGCGCGCACAAGCCCTTCCTCACCGACACCAGCTGACCTATGTACTGGAACCCTAGTAATCGACAGAAGTGATAGACCAGTGACTTCAGCCAACCGAAGTTGTCCACTACCGCGACATGCACCAGCGCTGTGGCAGCGCAGTTAACCCCACGGCAACCATTCCGCCAATGGTTGGTCTAGCTATCACGACTGAAACGCCTGACCATCTGCCCCTGACGGCACGGGTACTCAGCGTCAGTAGAGTCAGGCCGGCCGGCAGGGCGCGGCGGCACTCACCTGAGCTGGTGCACCAGGTGGGCGGTGATGCGCGCGCCAGAGGCGGCCAGCGGGTGGCCGAGCGCGATGGCGCCGCCGTTCACGTTCAGCTTGGCCGGGTCCAGGTCCAGCTCGCGCTGGCACGCCAGCGTTTGAGGCGCGAACGCCTCGTTAATCTGCCGGGCAGCGGACGGCGCGGTCAGTTAAAAAGCAGACGAACCACGACTGTGCGAGGAACATGAGAAGTCATTCTACACACGGGTTACGAGCGGACAGGAGCCGACGTCCTCAGTGCCAAGATACAGCCACTCGATATGACAAATAAGGACGGCCACTCTGCCATTAATCCGCTGCACGTCAGCGATTGTTCTAACCAAAGAAGGCTACACCGAGATAAAGCCAGAAGACAGAGAGGGAACAGGACAGCCGCGGGAGCAGCGGGTGAGCGCGAGCCGCCGACAGAGCCGGGCCCTACCTCCACCAGGCCGATGTCGTTGAGCGTGAGGCCGGCCTTCTCCAGCAGTTTGCGGATGGCCGGCGCCGGCCCGATGCCCATGATGGTGGGCTCGACGCCGGCCACGGAGTACCCCACCAGGCGGGCGAGCGGCGTCAGGCCGTGCTCCTTCACGGCCGCCTCCGAGGCCAGCACCACCGCGCCGGCGCCGTCGCAGATGCCCTGCGCGCGCAGCAGGTCAGGGGACACGTCACCGCCACGGCGTCATAGTGCCTGTAATTACCAGTCATGACGGTGTTCTGCCGACGGTGGGTGTCACAAGCAATTACCAGCCACCTTTGGCACGACTCAGGAGCTGGCGCACCACGACCTGCCAAGCGAGGCTCTGGCCTCCTTCCCTCGGTCTGAAACAGACCGGGGCAGAACCCAAAAAAAAAAAAAAACACTAAAAAACAAACAACTGACTGGGCCCCACACATATGTCGCAATGAGCGAGCCAAACGTGCACTTCCCGCTCGCCCTAACATGGGACGCACTCCCGAACCTTCCAGCCGACTGTCGTCA